TAATTTCGCCTAATGAGGTTCAATTATAGCGGAAAATTCGTGAAATCTTGCCGTAAACGCGGTGATTATGATTTCTTCGGTTACTCAACTTTTATCGCGTGAAACTTTTTCACGACTGTTAAGCAATTATTACGTTTTTACGAATTTCGTAATGTATGACTATTAGTTTTTTATTTATATTGTATTGTAAATATAAATAAAAAACTAACGCTGCATTATAAATGACATATTATCATTATTGATTATTATGATACATGGACAATCTCGTATGTATAACATTTAATATACTTTATATTATAATAATATATAATATATTTATATATAATAATATTAATATAATAATAATATATTTTATAATACTACGATATTTTGTAAAATTAAATAATGAAGATTCTTGTTTCAAAAAACATTACACTACTACTACATGTACGATCGTCCGTATTATTGAATATTAATCTTGTACACACATCTCCGATTTGAAATGAAACTTCAAGATATCCAGACACAACGGGAACACAAATTATAAGATACAACAATGCGTGTCAAAAGCGACAGAACTACAAATTATCATTAACACGTACAGTTGTTCACGGAAGTTCGCAGCAACTAATAGAAAAGTTACAATTTGCTCGCGTTTCTTAATCTTACAGAAATGAACGATATTTCCGAAGTGCTTTAGCGATTCCATTTTGAAGAAGAAGAAGCAAAGAATCAAAAGTTAAGATTTCCCAGACCACGGAGAAAGCGAGAGATGTCCCTTTGCGTGTTAATTTCGTTGTTGTTCGAATCACAGGGCGATCCGCAAACTCGTAGTGGACCATGACGAAACAGCGGACGGGGAACTATGTTGCAAATTTCCCTAGACAAGGGCGACCGCGAAAGCGAAAGTTCCAGTCGTGCACGTGGTTCTATCGTTAGTAACAGTCGAGTAGAGTTCGGTCAATGGTTGTTTAAAATAGAGAGAGAGAGAGAGAAGAGAGAGAGAGAGAGAGAGAGAGAGACAGAGAGATGTGCAATGACGCGACATGCTGCCTTTCTATGCACGACATACGATCGGTTTTCAATGGCAGGAACGTTTCTTTGAAAGCCATCGACTCGATCACGGAAATCACCGACTCCATCTATTCCACCGACAATTGCAATGATCGTTGATTGTTGCTCAACGAACCCTTTTATCAGGGAGTTAATTAAGGGTCTGTCAACCCTTTCATCGAGCAACAAGCGTGCACAAAATGGGGTGCATTAAATATCGTTGATCACGTACACGTTACGTTCCTTCGAGTTATAAATTGTTGTACGAGGAAGTAATTGTCCGTGATGTTTTTAATTAGATGGCGAGTTTGTAACTGATTGGTCGTAATTAGAAATTGAGAAGTTTCAGGGGTGAGGGGGGAGAGAGGGAGGGGGAAGAATCCACGTGAATTAGCAAGATTACTATGAAACTATAGCAAATCGCTAAGAAGCTAACGTAGAATCATTTACAAAATATTGTAAATTCCGAAAACTGCCGAAAAATTAAATCTAACAAATCGCAAGGACTATTTTAAGAAATTTAACAGATCACAGAAACTGTTAAAGAATGATCGCAATGATTCAATACGATTCAAATGTTACTATATAATATTAGTAAATAATACAGGATAATGCCTAAATAGTACAAGAGCTCGATAAAACACAAAAATGATCACAAAGACAGATTACAGAAGTGTAACGAAGATACATAGATAACGCGAGTATCAGAACTGTGGAAAGATCAGTAGATTATCTCTGATATTCTTTCAACGATTGGAGTAATTCAACGGAGTGCAATACTTTAATCGAGCGGCTGAACGAGCGACAAAAGCATTCCTCACGCTAATTTCTCCGCTGCGGCAGATCCAATTACGATCCCATTGTCACCGGGGACTAACGATTTCAATAAAGGCAATATTCGATGAATGGGACACCATCGAGCATACAGGTAGCTCGATGAGATCAAATACAATATATACTTGCCAATATCAGCATCGACATTTAAGTTATCATTTCATGGATTTTGAATATTATTCGAAAATAATTTAAAATGTGTCATATGTAAGTACAGTGTATGAGTTCTAGTGTTCAAGATTCAATAAAATGACGAAAATAATCAAAAACAGCAAGTTTCAAGGGGTTGACGTAAAAGAAATACTCGAATCTTCAAGATTATGGATAGATCAAGTCGTAAAAGAAACGTTTAGTGATTTTAGAGGCATTTAAATTTTTATGGTTTTCGATAACAAAAGTATCCTGCCACCTGCTGCACTATGTGGAGAATTTAAAAAAAAAAAAAAAATGAATTCAAAATTGATAAAGTAGAGATTTCACGCTCTGAAACGAAATTAAATGGATTGTCGTGCGATTTTGTTTTATGAAGTTTAAACAGTTTAAAGTATCGATAATTTTTCATAGTTTCATTCACTTCAGTATGTGTACAGTATATGAACGTTTGTAGATAAGTATCTACCAATATGGATGGTATCTACCAACCTGCAAGTTTCATTTCTAAAGTGAAAATATATAATTATTTCAATGAATACACTTGCAAAGTATTTATTTTACACAAACTGGTTTTCAAGAGTTCACCCATAGATTTTAAGAGAGTACTAATGAATAATTCGATGTTTGTAAAATTCGATACTTTTACAAATATCTTGGAAATCAAAATTTCTTTTTTTCGTTGAAGGCTAACCCAAGACAGAACCAGTCTATTGGACGTGACAGTGTGATTCGTTTGAAGCAAAATTTGTTTATGCATAGGTATAGTAATCGATCAGAGGTATTTCTACAAAAGAGAAATGTTCTTGTATTTTTATACGTGATTTTTAAACAACATAGAAATACAGAAACATGTTTTATTAAGTCAAGATTCTTTGTGAATACCAAAAATCGTCCTCTAATGTTCGAGTATTCCCTAAATCAACAATGTATTGTCACTTGTTTTTCAATATTCACAGATTAAATTGCTGAAGTAATTTTAATAAAATGAAAGATGAAAAAAAGTTACATAAGAAACAAAGGTACTGTTTGTGTTATTGTTTTCTTGGCCAGGGGTAGGTATTTTTACCGATCGAAAGCATGCTTCTGTATTTCTATACATTTTTAAATGATACAGAAACGATTTTTAAATGATACAAAAATACAGAAAGTGCTTCATCGAGTCAAGCGCTCTCTACAGTTCGCGCACATCAAAAATTATCCTCCAACCAGCAAATGTATTGACACTCGTACTCTTTCAAGTTTAGTTGCATGGTTGAAATAATTTTAATAAAACAAAAGATGAAAAGAGAACCGTACAACGAAGTATCGTTTTTCCTTTTTTCGGAAATATTGTTTTCACTTCCAGAAAAATGGAAGCAATATTTCTCTTTCTCGTGTGTAAAAGGTGGAAAATGAAAAGGACAGAGGACCGAGAAACAGCACTGGTATTGTGATTTCCAGCAGTCAGCTGGAACACGTGAACGAATTCGAAAGCTTTTTACGGCACGAGGCGAACAAAAATGGATTATCGATTCGGCGATGTTTTTCGCTCGATGTGTTTAGAAACGCGGAACGAGGTGAGACGGGTGGAAATATTTCTTGTGTTAATTGTTCCGATGATTATAATTGGGAGTCGCGGTTAGCCTGAAATCGATGAAAAGCATTCCTAACTGAGAAGGTGGGGGGGGGGGGGGGAGGTATAATTTATCGGTAGAACGAACAAGTAGAAGAAGAACAGGAGCAGCGGAATTGTTGGATGCTTTCTTCTACGTAGATTATATTAATTACGGAATTAATCGAGACACTTGAGAATGGACTGGTTTTCCTAGAAACGAGAAACGAACGTCTGAGCATTTGTATATTTAAGAGAATTCAGATTCAAATGTTCGTGGCCTTCGTAGCTCACGCTTTTTAAATGCAAATCTTATATTTAAATGACTCGGTGAAAAAAAGTCGACCTTGATGATTTTTAGCGTAAAACATATCGCATGATCGGATTAATGACGTGGACTCATTGTACATTCGGAAAGATGCTGCATAGACGTTGAAATACACGGATTTGAGTGTCCTTCGAGATCGAAACCTGTCAGAGGAACGTGGAAGGATGGGATTTCGGTATTGAGTCGACCAAATGTAAAATCGTTTCGTATATTTCCTGTCTTGAGACAAATTCCAGACTGAAAGTATCGTAGTTTATACGTGAAACCAGTTTTATCTGATCAACTTCGTTTCCTTGACTCGACAATTATCGCATGAGCATAAAAGGAATTAATTATAAGCAACATGAAATGTATCAGGGCAATCGTTGAGATGATTTTACATACTCGTTCTTGATCTTTTCCCACAGGAGATATATTTTTATTCCTCGAGCGTATCGTACAAAACGGGACGTTCTTATACAACGTCCTGTTTACGAAAATAATAAATTGTGCTCAGTGGAAATAACATAAAATTGTCGTTCGCTAATTTTACTTTTTAATCATCGCACGTCATTATTCAAATAGCACAGAATTGTCGTGTCACTGCAGAAGAAAAGAAAAACTGAAATTACACTTCACATGCGTCAAGTATAGTATTATAATATCCGGGGTTTTTTTAATCATTATTTATGTTAAACGCTCTAGAAATGCTTAGAAGAAATATAACTTGGTAATATATTAATATATTAAAAATTTTTCAGTTTTACTTATAATTATTGGCTCAATAATTGGCTTATTTTTAATTGTGAATAAGATGGCAGATAACACATGATTGATGTCTCCTTCAATCATTGTGAAACTGCTTCGTTACATAACCTCTTTAATCAAGTTATAAACAAGTCAAATTAAGAAAGATTTCAAATTGAGAATATGAATCTAGAAAAGAAGAGAAATGATAAATAATAAAATATATACGCAATTTAAATTTTCACAAGCAAATTCTCTAAAGAGAAAAAAGAGAAAGATATTCAAAGTATAAATACCATCCATTTGCAAAATTCTTACGAAAGAATCTCTTTTTAGGTGCTGACGGTGACACTCTCCATAGGCGCCATGCTTCTAGGCGCCTCTATTTATTCTCTGACCGAGTTCCAACAGCGTAGAGCCTTTCTGGAAACGAGGCAAAGCCTGGAAGTGCAACTAGTGATCGAGGAGCAAAGCGCGGAACAGGAAAGGCTACTGCTTAGCGTGCTTCCGGAACACGTGGCTGTAAAGATGCGGCAGGACTTAGGCGCCTCGCTGGACACGCAGTTCAAGAAGATTTACATGTCCAGGCACGAGAACGTCTCGATCCTCTACGCGGACATTGTCGGATTCACCGCGATTTCCTCCACGTACAGCGCCAGCGAACTGGTGAAGATTCTCAACGAGTTGTTCGCCAGATTCGATCAACTTAGCGAGCGGTAAGCGATCAGTTCCGAGGGAAATCTAATTTAACACTGGAACTACTGACGACTGATGAAGCATAAAATTTCAATTAAAAGAAACAGAAATTCTTTATAGCACTTATAAATAGGTTTTATTTATGTATTTTATAAAGAACCATTCAAATCTCCGAAAATATGCCGTTTTATATATCTATAAAATATCGAACAAAAATATTCAAATGGTTATTTTGGTAGTTCTAATGTTAAGAGGAACGACGTAAGAGTTTCTGTTGAATTTGGAATTACAGCTGATTGTTTATAACCGATTAATTTAATTATAATAACAATTGATCGCTGGACGGGGAACGCCCTTTTAAATTTTTTAGAAAACACTTGATAACAAGTGATTGGATTTTGGAAAAGTAGTTTGAAATCTGAGAAGTGAGAAACAAATTCTTGTTGGAATTATACTTGATAGAATTGACTGTTATCAACGAGGAACGTTTTTTTTTCAAATTTTTGAAAAGAATCTTCATGACGAATTTTGAGAAAGTAATATAATTAAATTTAAGAGAAATTGAGAGGAACTAGTTAATTCGACACTTAAAACAACGTTTAAAATTACAAATTGACATTCAAATTAATACCATATTTGTTATTTAACCTTAAAAAGGACTATCGGAAATTAATTCATCTCATCTTGGCTTAAGACAAATTTACTATACCCGTCTGTTATTCACGAAACGAGAACAACAAACTCACTATATTTCCAATTCTCATTTCTCAAGTAGCACTCGCTGGCTTGATTTCGGCGACACGGACAATCCTCTCCATTCGAAAGACAGAAACACCAATTTTACGCGAGATAACAAGGAACTGGACGAACAATGCTTTGAAAGGGACTACCGAGTCAATCCCGACCCCGAATCCGAGATTTTCGCGAATGTAAGGGTCAAAGGAAAACGCGCGTTGCCTTTGTCAACCGCTTCGAAACGGCGGAGGGGGGAGAGGAAGCTGTCGATAAACGGTGGGAGGAACAAACGGATTAATCGACAACGAAGCTATCGACACCACGGAAAAAATTCGTTCGTTTACAATCGACTGTGACCCGCTTTTGAAACGACGGCGAGCTTTCACGAGCTCTGACACACCCACACTCCCCTCTCCGTCGCCCTATTATTTTTCTTTCCCTCTCGTTCGTGCACGACGGATAATGAAAATCCTAAAATTGCCAGCCGCGAAATTGACTTTATCGGGAAATTCCAGCAAATCCTTTCCCCGTTTTCCTCGGCTCGTCCTCGAAGGGAGAGAGAGAGAAAGAGAGAGAGAGAGAGAGAGACCTAACGCGGGTCCTTCACGAGGCGTCGCCGACGAATCGATACGTCCGGGGACAAAGTGGTATCGTTAGCGAATTCCCATCGCGCGATATTTCACTCTGTTCAATTGTCCATGCTATGGCCGTGGCGAGGGAATTCCAGGGAAACACCAGCGATTCGCCAAGGTGTTTGAATCACGCGTTTAACAATAATTTGACGATAGCCGCGGACGTGTTATTCGTGAATTTTGATCTACCTCTTACCGTGGTAGACCACCTCTACAGATGGATATTCGAAAGAGAAAATTGAGAAGCAGAGGTAAAGATATAACGTTTTCGAGTAACGAGACACTCGATCGTGATGTTCTTTTGATACCGAAGCTCAATTTCTACGCTGTGTACGTTGTATAATACAAGTTACAAAGCTTGTAAAACACAGACGCTTGTTCCCTTTATAATTCTCTTCGTACACTCTTGTTCGTGTTGTTTTAGAAAAGACTATCAACTGAAGGGACTATGAACTGGTTAAAATTTTTCTACACTACTCTCGTCACAGGAAATAATCGATTAACAATCGCGCGTTGACACACTTTTCTCACCAACGAGATCTTTCAGATGAATTCGACGAACGAAGTTGCTGCGAAAAATTTGAAATTGAACTGCAATGCGATAATAACCTGTGCCTTGTGTCACGGTGCTAATGAAATTTCCAAATGTTTTGCACAGGACAGCTAATGGATTCATGAAATTCAAAGATTTCTATGAATATTCAGATACGTTCGCGAGTCGTGCTTTACATCGTGCTTCTAAATTGATTCTCCTTAATTAATATAAAAATCCTCCGTGGGAAGGAAAAGAAGAAAAGAAGGAGGCGAGGATTTAATTCGTTGAAAAGGAATGAAAACGCGACCCGACGCGAGGATTACCGAAACAGCGGGTTTGATAATACCGAGATCTAATCTGCGGGAAGAGGAACGTGGGAAAATGAAATCGGTTATCGTTGGATCTGTGTGTATAGAATGGCGAACGGTTTAACCCTGAGAGCGTCGGTAGTGGTGCAGGTCAATGTATAAATCCCGCGAAACACCCTCCTTCACTTAAGATGCTCCTTGACATGTACTTTCCTCTCCCATTTGCCAAACAGCGGCTTGGTACCAAGTGAAAAATTAAATCCTCCACCCTTGCGTTTTCTAAAACGAAACTCCCCGCCACTCAACCCCGTTTCCATACGAACGTTTCAATTACAAATTCTCCAGCTCAATCGATATACACGATCACGTGTGCGTGTGCGTGTGCGTGTGTGTGTGTGTGTGTGTGTGTGTGTTCGCGATCCGTCCGCTCGTTTTAACTTTCGAAAGTATTTCGCTGGAAAAATTTCAGTTTCCAACTGCTTGCGTCTTTTTTTTCTTTTTTTCTCTCTTTTGACTCTAATTATTAAAACTTTCCGAGCAACTTCTATTCTTAAACTAGAGCTAGAAGGTTCTAGGAAGCGGAAGTTTCGAAATCGGCACGAGGTTTAACTTTTTTTTATTTGTCGTTCGAATTTTTAGAACGACCGAAGCTGTTTTACGTTTGAAAGTTTTAGGTAGAAATAACGCTTTTGCTTTTTGTACTTCGAAGTTTAGAAGTTTAAATTCTACGCAAACACCACGCGATCAATTTCAAAATTCATCTCTGTTGATTTTGTCAATTCTGTTTTTTGATGCCGCTTTGTAATTAAAATAGAGTATTTTAGTGCAAGACAATCCTAAAATTAAATAGTAAAATAATATCAATATGAAATCTTCGTCCCAAAATTGTTCTTCTATGAAAGAACTTGGTCTTCACATACTTTAGATTCATACTGTAATTCTAAATAGTTGTATATATTTTCAATTACATTAAGGTATTATATAGAGGCCTCAGAGTTCAATTAGTGTAAGTCATTTTCCATTAAAAATGGAAATGAACACATTCTTGTTGTCAAAACTTTTAGTCAATGAAATAGTTTAGTTTGTATTGTTGTAATATTGCAATGATTATATAATAGCGATTAACTGACAGTAAAAGGGAAACCGATGGTTGGGAAAGACATCTGATCGGATTTCGAAAGGATCTCAGAATTCGAGAAAGTCGGAATTCTCAAGAAAGTCGCGATTGTTGAAGAACTTTCTTTTTTTAAGAAAGACACAGCAATTTTTATTTATTAAAATTTAATGTTTTCTAAAAAGAAAATATTCGATTTTTCAAAGTTTTCTCGACGTTATTATATCATTAATTATTTTTTCTAATAGTTATTGATTAATTTCTTCACGATTTACTATATTATTTAATAAATTTATTTTAATTTTATTTAAAGAATTCTATATCAATAAATAAAAAATCAATTTCTAATATAACAATTGTTTTATTATATTTATAAATTTTTTCAATTCTTTCCTTATATCTTTTCTTTAACAAGACATCTTTTGTTTAATTCATCAATATCATTATCATTATGATTAAGATTATTTATTTATTTATTAATCAATTTCCCAATTAATTTTTCAAAAATTAATTACTAATTTTATTAATTATAAAAATTAATAGAATTAAAAATTTTTACTTCCACTCTCCTAAACCTCTTATACATTTTGTAGTAATTATTGAATTAATTGGATTAATAATTCGATCATGAACGTTATCAATTCGTTCCATCATCAAATTTAATTTCTGGACATTTAATTTTACGAAGAAATTTTATAATAAATTGAATTTCTATCTTACCATTTACTACAATTATTCAAAATATATTATTAACTTTAGAAATTTCTATATCAATTATTCAAGCATATGTTTTTTTCAATTTTCATCAGCGTAAATTTATTTTCAATGACAAGTGACTTGCGCTGATTGACCTCTGAACCTTCCACATATTCTTAAGATTCTACCATTCTCGCGCGCAGCGTGATATTTTGAAAACTTGCCAGGTACGAACAATTGCGAATAAAGATCCTCGGCGACTGTTACTACTGTATAAGTGGAGCACCGGTAGAAAGACCGGACCACGCTGTCCTCTGCGTCTATATGGGCTTGTCGATGGTGGACGCCATCAAGTACGTGCAACAAACGACCAATAGTCCTGTCGACATGAGGGTGGGTATACACACCGGTGCTGTGTTGGCCGGTGTCCTCGGTCAGAGACAATGGCAGTTCGACGTCTACAGCAAGGACGTCGAGCTGGCGAATAAGATGGAGAGCAGTGGAATGGCGGGGTGAGTATCACTTCTTTACTTTCTTTCAACCTCACGGAACTATTTGGTTGAATTGCAGAGTTGAATAGAATGTACTTTCTTAAACTATATTTTAGTAGAGTTAAAGAATAGAATGTGTCTTGATTTCTTAAACTATTTTCACCCTTTGCCTTCGAAAACTTTTCTCACATCATCCACCAGCAATTTATTTACGAAGCATCGACTAAAATGACACGGCATTGGAAACAATCATTCAAATGGTATTCAACAGGAAATGTTGTTGATTATATCTTTCCAACTCTGTGATATCGTTTAAATTTGAATTAATCATCAAGGTGTGTTTGTTGGAACAAATGTAATATTAAACAAGAGTTAATGGTACATAGTTTCAATCTCCTTCACCAGCTTTCAAACTTTCGTAAGAAGCAATAAGAATTCTAGCTTATGTGAATTAATAATTAATAATTATTCTTTTGCTCTTCTTACGTCGTTATTATAGCATTCACTCTAGGCGTCTGTTCAGATATTGTACCTTTATACTATTATGCATCCTATCATAAGATCAAGTGCATACATTCATAATGATAATCAGCAAATTATAAAAAAAGCTGTTGGCTAGATTTGAGTACGATGTCCCTTCAGAAGGATACATATCTGTCTCGTAAATATTTCAGAATTGTTCTGTTAAATTTGGATGGATGAAACTCTTAGAATTATTTTTGTGGAGCGCGTTGAAATTTCACATAAAAGAAAGAAAAGAAATTAAAAGAATAAAAATTATTCGCGAGAGCTTAATTTTTGTTTAAAAAGAAATCGATGTTCGAGTAGGTATACTTTTTGACGAATATCGAGATCTTTTAAAGTCGTCTCATTTGAAATTCAGCTAATAAGAAATCAAAAATTTATCACACACACACCTTGTCATTTGTCCTCCATTTACAGAAGAGAGTTATTGTTTCAATTTATCAATTCTAATCCTGTGCAGTTTGAATTCGAATTGGAAATTCCATATTCCTTCGATCAAAGATTAATAAATGCAAATTATATATAATGCGCCAATTACATTTACATCTAATGACCAACGATTAAGAAACATCGAGAGGATAATTGTAAGAGAAGAAGGTTAATCACGTTTTTTATTGTGCAGAGAATTATGGGCTCTCACGTACTTGTTTTTCAGTATAATTCCACTGAAATACGATTATATATACGTGTGATTCTATTGACGTTTCGATTTCTTGACCTCGTTAACTCGTCGAAATTCAACAGGAGAAAAAGTAGAACAGAGGCGTGAAAAAGCTGCCGGATTCGGAGCTAAACGATATCGATGCGGCGACATACAAAACGCGTCCTTGATGTCGGCGGACACGTAATGAGCGCACTCCGCGTGTATATCTTTGACATTAATTACCTGGCGAAACGCCTGGCGAGCAGTTTTTAATGCCCTGTCGTACTTTAATTTTAGCTGGCTGGTATTAAAGGGTGAGATACCCGAGTCCCGTGGTAAAAACCTAATAGCCCGTGCTTTAAAAAGAAAAACAAAAAAAAAAAAAAGCAAAGCAAAGAAACGGCCATTGTAATGTTCCTTCTCTTTTCTCTTTTCCATTTTCATCAGGCTGATGTATTTAACAAAAAATTAGAGGTCTCGGCCCTTCCTGTCACGCGACTCTCCTGTTCCCTATTTTTGTAACACGTAACGCGATCGAGGGATCTCTCAGCTTTACTCCACAAACGTTTGACAATTACTGAAGAAAAATCACGGCCAGCAACTCTTTTCAATTTCCCGATCTTTGATCAAACTTTGACACGATGTAATTAAAAGTGGGAGTAATTGCTGACGGAACTGGAAGAACAGTCATTTCACGGTCGAGTAAGAGAATTTTCATACGACGTGAACTAAAATAATTGATGCTGACGAGACATTTCCAATTGATTTTTCAATCACAGCCCGGTTTTATTGTTGCACGTAAGACTCCGAAAATAAATTTCGCATATGTAGTTACGGTGATTATAGTTTAATTTATAAATATTTAATTAACTGTATAAACTGTATATTTAATTATTAATAAATTGTATATTATAAAATTTATAAATAATTATAAATTGTAAATACATATAAAATTTATAAATAATTATAAATTATAATTATTAATATATGTATATATATAATTTATAATTATAAATAATTATAAATTATATATTAATATAATATATTGATATATTAATTATTTATAAATTAAACTGTATTAAACCGTATATTTAATTCCATAACTCCAATTAATCAAGTGTCTGTATATTTTCGTGCCATGAAATAATGCACTAAAGCGCAGTGAAATATTGGAGAATACGATAAATCGATTGCGTTGCGATATAATGGAGAATTAACTGCATAAATACTTCGGAAGATAAATGGCTGTTGTCGCACAATTTTCGCTAGAGTAAAACGCAATCTAGAATTCACGTTAAACACAAGTTTGGAGTATTAACGATCCCCTCGCAGTCATTTGCGCCGCATCACCAGCTATTCCAACCGGCATTACGGTAACCTTATTATTATTCACACGAACTAGAATTCACTCGAGAACAATAACGTAACGGCAAGTTCCAGCCAGCGAATCGCTTACAAAAGACGTTCGAACACCCTTCGACATTACCATGAATGCAGAATACGTGAATTCTCCTTTCTCTGCCACATCCACGTCTTACGCCCACGTCGTTGGATAATCAGGGCCATTTTGCCAATCGTGAACGTCTCTGTCCGAGATGTTCGTACACTGTCTCGTCTCTCCTAACGAATAATTTTGTATACTTTCGACGAGAAACGGGTAGAGGTTGAGTAACAGTACGAACGATATTGCAATGATTCGAAGGAGGGTGCACATCTCGAACGCGACGCTGAGCTTCCTGAACGGCGAGTTCGAGGTCGAGCCAGCGCACGGCGAGGACAGAGAAGAGGCACTCCAGAAGGCAGGCATCGTCACATACTTTATAGTCCGCGCGTTGAAGCCCTTCAAGCCAGCTGTCACCAAGAGCCTCGCCTCGCTCACGGAGGACAACAGGAGAACGATGGACGCCAGAGACGGAAGGAACAACAACAAGGAGGACTCGGAGGAGTTCAGGCAGAGGCTGAGGAAGGAACTCGACAGCAAAAGTGAGAATGTTGGAATTTCTGTGTGTCGAACGAAGAGATCGAAATTGATATTGAATTGTTTCTTTTCTTTTTTTTNTTTTTTTTTTTTTTTTTTTTTTTTTTTTTTATTAAAAGAAAAATCCTGTTCGAATCCTGCTATATGTTTCGTGTAAATCTGTTCTCGCGGAATTTTTATGGAAGGAAGCGTTAGGTGCATTTTTGAATAGTGTTATCACGGAACAGATGTAATAAAAAAATTCCATGAAAACGAGTTATTTTAGAAAACACTTATCTGTTATTTTACATTCAATTGAAAATTCAGCACTGTTCACTGAATATTTGCTACAAAGATTGAAAGAAATTTTTTTTACCATTGTTTTTCCGACAGAAAAATTTTTATTTCGATATTTTACGAGTTCCATTTTGTCTGGAACTTTTATTTTTAACAACATTCGTCGGGACTTGTAACGTAAGAACATTTTTCGAGAAAGTTCTCCAAGTCGTATTTCGAATAAAATTTATTTAAAAGTTCCTAAACTTTTTCGGTCCCTAATGTTAAATAGGAATAATAGAGAATAATAATTGAAATTGGTAGAATGTTTGAAGTGAAACAAACCATCATTGATATCCGTAGTACTAGTTTTTAACTAATGACAGAATCATTAGTAGAAGCTTTTATATTCGTACGTAGATGCTAGCTTCGTACAATTCACTAAGAAATTCTTTCTTATACCTCGAAATACAATCTCAGGTATTTCCTTTCGCATGAAAAATTTCCTATTTTTAATTTTATTTTTCATTCGAAATGTAAGAAGACGTTGATTGCAGCTGGAGGAGCGCATTTGAAAGGCCACGCTCACTGGTTGACGCTGCGGTTCAAGGACGCGAAGGTGGAATCCGCGTTTCACAACGCCGAGGAAGCATTCTCCCCGTTGTCGCTGCTCGGCGGGCCATTGGTGATGATTTGCACCGCCCCGGTTTGGAGGTTTCAGCCCTGGGGACCTTTCACATGGGGCGGTATCGGGGTGGTTCTGCTATTCGCCGTGGTTCTGGCTGGTGCCACGTGTTTGGCCAGTGCCGTCAAGGCTATGTGGCTGAGAAGAGCTCTGGCCCTCCTAATGACATTTTCCCTCGGTGATTTTCTCCTCCTCGACATGGTACGTACACTTTCTTCTTCGACAAACCATTCAAACTCCTCTCAATTATTTTGCTTCGTCTTTAACCGCTCGCGCTGGCAACTGATTGCGGACCATAACGAGCGACCGAACCGTATACAATAATTCGTCGCTTTCTTTTTCAACTCGTCGGTATGATATCAAACCGGATAGAAATTATTGAGAAGTAATAAATTTATTTTTTTTCGCCTGGGTTATATTTAGATATACTTAGAACTGAGAGAATATTGCAGATTTGGGGCAAAAAATTCTCGACGCAAGAGGTTAACACGTTGACGGGTGATGTCGCGTCTTTTGTTTCGTGAATCGGCGTTTTTCAGTCTTCAAACGTGGAGGATAGCGATTTACGTCATCCTGTACGCACGTGAACGATAATCATCAAGCGAACGAAAACTATTAAATTTAATTACGCGAATGACAATCATTAATTTAAATTTATATGATTTTGCGTCCGCTTCGTAGAACCTCGATTCAATTTTAAATAATTATAGTCAAAATTGAAGCGTCGATCTGAAAAATGTTTTGAAGAATTTTTCGCAGACGAGTTTCCAGATGTGTCAATGACGATAGTAAAGATGACGGTAGTCTTTTTTCTGATAAAAGAAAGGAGAAAAACGCGATGTATTTGGAAATTCTGCTTACTCATTCTCGATAAGGAAAAATGTTCTCAGAATCACCACTAAGAGACACTACCATTATTATCATTAGTTACATTCATTTGAGTATAGATAAGTTTGATGAAACATTCTCAATCTGCTCAATGAAACATTTTCGTTGCTTTCATATTTTCTGAAAATATATATATATGTATATATACACACAAATTCAAATGAATTATTACTGATACATTATTCACTTCCAAATCATAAATCATTTTTGTTCACTGATGAATGAATTTATATTTAATTTGAAATATTGATAAACTTAAGCAACACATATGTCTTGAAATAAACTATTTGGGTCTCTTTATATAAAATTTATAAAATTTAATATCTTATATAAAATTTATAAAATTTAATATCTTATATAAAATTTATAAAATTTATAAAATTTAATATTTTATATAAAATTTATAAAATTTAATATTTCAAAGTTGTTTTAATATGACCTTTGGCAAGCAACGAAGTAAATCTCAAGCACCTTACAAAATTAAACCAATTCTTTCTAACGTTCGTACGTTTATACATATATCATCAAGGCGTGTACGACTGAACAAATTCTTTTGTTACTAATTGTGCATGTGGTACGCGCCATCGCAACTTAAATCATAGTGCAAGGAGTCAACAACAGAATATTTCGACATGTTACTTTATATTTTCAACTTATATATCGTAATATAAATTTTTATACCGTAGAAGGAAACGTAGAGTAAGAGTATTATTTCCTTTCGTACCGTTTCACAGTTCAACTGCGTGGTCATCGAGGAAAACTTGCCGATCGTAAACACCACTATAACCGTGTCAGCGAAGTGTCCGTATCCTTCCTACTACTCGTACTTCGGCGTGCTTACACTCGTGGCGATCTCGATGCCGAGCTACGTATGCTACCTGGGCAAGGCGGTCCTGATGTACGGCATCGCGGGTTCTCAATGCTTGATCAACATCTACTTGCTGGATGTCAGGCTCGACTGGGAGGATTATGCGTCCTCTCCCTTCGAACCGTCTCCCGTTCCGTCGAAATACTGCCTATCCGCAACTTTACTCATCGTAGCTACTTCCTTGGTCGTTGTATCCAGATACGTAAGTAATGGAACAGTTCCCTGGACAACGTGCTGCTCGAAAGTTTTTCTCATACTTGTATTTGACAGAATTGGAAAAAGATCATTTATTAAAAGATTTCGGTAGTTCGGACGAACAGTGTTCCGAGTTGAATGGCGAAACATTTAGAATTAGTTTTCTAAAGTGACGTTCATTGAGAGTGAATTTTATTAAAATCTGTTCAATTTTTTGTATAGCGCAGTACGTGATGTTTTTATGAAGAACTCTATCGAAAAGTTGGATACTAAAGTATTTCAGAGCAAATGATCATTTGTTTGGAAAAGTCTTGGATATTTGAGAAAATTTGTTTGTGAAGAGAGTGAAAAACGTTATCGAATATTATTCGATAATGTGCTACCACCAGACTTTCTAGAATTAACTATACGATATATTCGAAAAGTCGAAACGTAGATCATTCTACACGAACGTGTTCCCATCCTGTCAATACAGTTAGCGGATTTCCATCGCGTACGAGTAGTTTCGGCAGATTAAAACCTTCCGCGTAGAGACGTCGTGAAAAATTCAATTTCTCCTCGCACGAGGATAAATAACCGGGCCTCCTGTACGAACCTCTCGAACAAATTCATCAAAGTCGAGGGTTGCACTTGGCCCGACAGTCGAGGGCGTATCTCTCATCCCCCGCATCGGTCGACACTCTTTCACGAGGAGTGAACGCGGTTTGCATTTAATGCAAATGAAAGCCAAACCATCTCGTAAAATAAAACAAACAAAAAAAATAAAAAATAAAAAATAAAAGAAACTAAAAGAAAAGAGTAACAGATTGAAATATTTCACAAAATATACCGATCAAAGGTATATTTTTAAAAAGAAGTATTAACCTTTCGGGGCGGAGCCCTATTGAAAAAAATAAACGAAAGGTTAAGTTAAGGGTAAAGATGCGCTCGGTTTCGACGACTCGACGAGGACATCGATCGATTTTCAGGCGGAGAAGTCGAGGAGGATGCTGTACCTACGAGGTAGGGAGGTGGTCGCGCAGAGGGAGAGGGCGGCGGACATGAAGCGCAGAAACGGCGCCCTCATCTACAACATACTTCCGCCGCACGTGGCCGCTTACTTTCTGTCGAGGGCGAGACACCACGACGACCTGTACAGCCAGAGCTACGCGGATGTGGGCGTCCTGTTCGCCAGCATGCCGAACTTCGCCGATTTCTACAGCGAGGAGAGCATCAACAATCAGGGCCTCGAGTGTCTCAGGTTTTTGAACGAAGTCATATCCGATTTCGACGCGGTGAGTATCGTCGACAAAGTTTTCCCTCGAGATCCACTTTCGTGATATCACGTTTGTCGTAATTATTGGAAATTTCGTTCCTACGATTATATATCGTGCAGCTAGATTCAGAATGTTTGACGGCAGATCACAAAAATGGGAGACAGGTTTTCTGTTGTTTGAAAATTAATTTCCCGTTGTCGTTGTTATGATTGTTTATGTGACAGCAAGGTAAAATTGAGAGGGTGGTTTCCTTTTTGATGCAGTTTCCCTAAATTCAGTGAACTTTTAAGCGGTTAAATATAACATAATTCTGGTTAAATATAAAAAGATCGATAGAATGCTATCGTGGGATGTTTTCAATTTTTGCTGGCTAAACCGTGGGAGCATAGTGTACGATAGAGAAGAAAAATAAATGCTCTACTATGAGATTATGATTATATATAGCCACTGGATGGAATCGTGATTATATATGTGAAAATTTGGAAAGTTAATTGCGAAACAGCATAAAATTGTACTTAATATTATTACATCATAAATGAACCAATAACTACGAAAAATTTAAACTGTTGTAACTTTTTCCTTTTGTAAAAGAAAATTCAGTAACAATTCACTTGAATATCTACTTTGACAACCCATCTATTTCTTTTTTCAAAAGCTGTAAAAATTCAAGCATGTCTAAAAACATTAAAAAATTCTTTTTATTACTGGATCATCGCCATCACTTTGAAGAACAAAGTGTTTGAACGAGCCGTCAAAACTTGCTATACAATTCCTTTTCTCAGCATATTGAAATTTGAATATTAAGAATAAATTCAAGAAATCCTAATGTTTCATTATTTAACTTTAATTATTCATTATTTAATTTCAAAATTAGATAAAATGATTGTAAACAGAAGACTTCTTCAAGATCACGGTAGAATTAGTCAGGAAAAATTTTTTATTATTTTTAGAGACGTTTGAATTTTTACAATTTCAATGCTATAAAAGTATCGAGATTTCAAGTTTCAAAATGAGATCGAGTGAATTGTTGTATGATTTTCCATCTTTACAAAGTTATAACAGTACAAAGATATCGATGTTGATAAGAAAAGTAACCAAGGTATTGAAACGTTAAAGACAAACGAAACACTCGTTGTATAAATTTACATCGGTCAATTAGTTATCCAAGATATCTAAGATATTTTTTGTTCCGTTAGATCCTCGATCAGACTAAATTCAAGGACATCATCAAGATCAAGACGATAGGCTCGACGTACATGGCTGCATCCGGAATCACCGAGTCAGCGGAATCCGAGGACACAGCTCGATGGGGTCACCTGTCCACCCTCGTCGAGTTCGCCCTGGAATTAAAGAAAGCATTGTCGAGCATCAACGAGCAAAGTTTCAATCACTTCGTTCTGAAAATGGGTATCAATCACGGTCCTGTGACCGCTGGGGTCATCGGCGCCCGGAAACCTCACTATGATATCTGGGGAAACACCGTGAACGTAGCGTCCAGGATGGAGAGCACTGGGAAAGTAGGCTGCATCCAGGTAAAATGTTCGAAGAGTAGGGCAATTTAGAAATATCTAGACGTAGACGAAGTTGCACCTTTTCTTTTTCTCCAAATATCATAAAAGATTCGATAAAATGAAAAATTAATCTTGTTACGATCCTTGTACCGAAATTTTTGTCCATGCTTCAGTATTACTCTCGTTTTAGGAGATAAAAAGTGTTTACAGTGATTTAAAAAAAAAGATGCAATCAAGAAATTATGCGTACTAATAAGATTTTATTCAAATTTCAAATATTAAAGGAACAAGGCGGTGGAAAATGCTCAAAAGAACGTAACAGAATTAGCATTAAAGAAGCAAGTTTTATAATAAAAAGTATAATGGCTTTATAATAAAATATAAATATAAAATTTATAATAATAAAGAACGTAATAAGGTTAGAATTAAAGAAACAAATTTTATAATGAAAAGTATGATAGTTTTATAACAAAAGTATCACGATATAACTTTGATACACACTCAAGACTTCAAAAAATGTATGGAGATTAGTTTTTTTTAATATACGAATTTCTTGTTATTTGAAGCTCCAATCAAGATAATAATTCTTGAAGAGTTTAACGATGGTTCTTTAACCTCTTGCGCTGGCAACTGGTTCGTGGACCATAACGAGTGACTTAACCATGTAAAATAACTCATCGCTTTCTTTTTCTCTTGAACTCGTCGCTATGATATCACTGGATAGAAATGATTAAGAAGTAATAAACTTATCATTTGTTTTGCCTGGGTTACATCAAACATAATTTATTTAAATATACTTAAAACTGAGAAAATGTTGCAATTTAACGATGGTTCTTTAACCTCTTGCGCTGGTAACTGGTTCGCGGACCATAACGAGTGACCTAACCATGTAAAATAACTCATCGCTTTCTTTTTCTCTTGAACTCGTCGCTATGATATCACTGAATAGAAATGATTAAGAAGTATTAAACTTATCATTTGTTTTGTCTGGGTTACGTCAAACATAATTTATTTAAATATACTTCAAACTGAGAAAATGTTGCAAATTTAGAGGGCAAAAAATTCTCGACGTGCAATTCCAGCGCAAGAGGTTAAGAGTGGGTACTTCATTTTCCACAAGTAAATTATAAATATATGATATTGTGACATAATGCTTTCAAAAACTTGTCAATGATTTAATGATTTAATAATAAATTTACTAGTAAAGATAAAAAATGATGGCACGCTCCGCAAATTGACACTAACAGAGACGTAAAAATCGCAGGTCACGGACGAGACCCGGAAGATCCTGGAACCGTTCGGCTTCGGCTTCGAACAACGCGGCCTGGTGTTCGTCAAGGGCAAAGGTCAGCTGCTCACCCACTACCTGGTGTCCAAGGATGGCGTGTCCTTGAACCTGGACAGCGACCTGCCGGTCGAACCCACCTATCCGATCATCTACCAGTAGGCTAATACTCGAAGGCTCTAAAAACTTCAACGCAAAAAAAAACCCTTCCACGTTCACGAAGGGACCTTTCGTCGAGAGCGAGGTTTCTCTCTCTCTCTCGATAACCCTCGAAGATTTTATCTCGAGACGAAACGAAGGGAAGACGCGCGAGGCCTCGACTACTCTCGACGATCTTCGAAGAGTTCGAACGCGTGAAACAGGGCGAATCGCGGAGATACGACGGGGAGGTCTCGAGCAACGGACGAACGGATCTACGATGTTAGAAGGTGAAGATCGGGAGATCTTTGAGAAGAAAAATTAAAAAAAAAAAAAGAAAGAAAACAAAGAACGAGAAAACTGGGCTGTTTAGATTAACTCGATACACGTATATCCTATTTGGCCAGAATTTTTGTCACTCGTTCATTTCTTGGGAGGAAGTTCCACGCGAACGATGATTCACATGACAAAACGTCGTGGTTTTCGTTTGGTTGGAGATTGCGGGAAAATTTGATTTGCCAGAGGCTTAGCCAGCCACTAGAGAAGAAAGGCTCAGCCACTAGAGAAAAATTCTTACCGCTGTACCGTAACGACCGTAGTTTACCGATTATCGTGATACACTGAAGATGAAGAGAACAGGGTACAATGTAAAAAAGTTTAGGGCGACGCTCGAGGGACGAGCGAGACTAACTGATAATTACAAAGAAAGTGACACACTATACGTCGTGGAATTGTCTTAGTTTAGTACTAGGCCTTCAAACGAATCCTATTTTCCGTAGAACCGAGAACGTAAGAGAACGTTGTTGGTAGCAGGCTGGTTTCGATTCGAGGAACGAAGATATGAAATTTCGGTACGAAGTACAAAACGTAGAAAGGATCTCGAAGAGTCGAAACGCGGGAGAAGGATGGGATTCTCATCGTAGGGATTCCCCGTCGAATCGTGGATATCTAGAATAAGTGTAGATTTGCCGGAACGCGTCAACAGCCAAGAAGCCAGTCGATCAACCCTCGTCACTCTAGAATCGATACGTAAACTTAAGAAAGTGTCTAGCTCGTAATCGTTGTGGTAGATTCACGGTTCTCGCGATCGAGTCAACTCTATTTTTCTAGATCCCGCGGCGAGCACGTTCCCAGGGCGCGATTAATTAAAAGGGGAAATGGATTAATTAAACGCGCCGAGAGCGTGGACGTGGTCAACTACATAGTGGTAGGTCTTTTTCCTAACGTGGCTCTCGGAGAATCGCAGTGTCCTCCGACGCACATTCTCTCGGTCGTCGAAAAAAAAAAAGAAGAAACTACGTCAACTGCGTGCTCTCTTTATGACTCTTTTTTGAATTCGAATCATCGCGGCACGACATGAATGAAATTTCCGCGACGTGACGCGGGGTCTGGTATTTGACGAAGAAGATCGTAGACTTGGAATTTTCTCCAAGATGGTCGAACGGTGATTAGCCCCGTGAACGCAGGAGAATTCCTTCGGTCCTTTTTCTCGAGGAATTTAGAATCTAATCGTAATAATTCGACGGTGGTTAGACATTGACCGATCGAATGGAAATTTCGGCGATTGTCCCGACAATCGAACCCTGTCGGATATTATTATCGGTCAGGTTATACCTACGCGTTGTAATTAAACAGAGTTAATAAAATCGAATCGCAGGTGCAATTTCAGTTGTACAAAGTAAATTGCAAATCGATGTGTAGATAGTACGGATGCTCGATGGAGAGGAGAGGTTGTACATTTCACGTAAAAACTGAAACCTGAAAGTAAAGGAATTGTTTATGTATTGTAAAAAAAAAAAAAAAAAAAAAAAAAAAAAAAAAAAAAAAGAATCTTGTAGAGAAAGCTCTAACAAAATACTTCGTCGGTTATATCGGAGCTTTGTTCTCATAGAATTAAAGAAAAAAAAAAAAGAAAAAGAAAAAAAAGAAACTGGGGGTTATAAAAAAAGAGAAACGTTGAATGAAGATGAAGTCAGGGAAAGGAAATATGATCGAAAATATGACGCGAGGAGGAAATATTCCGTGGCGTGGTTGATACTAAAGAAATCTCAGTGAATGAACACGCAAGGAAATGCTGAAGTACTCGGAGAAGAAGAGAAACGAGGAAGTTTCGAACGCTGTCGTTAAATTAAATTACCATCGAATACGAAGGAACGCTCGCGCGTGTTTGAAACAGTTTGTTAACGAGACGAATAGAAAAGGAAAAAGAAAAGAAGAAAAAGAAAAAAGAAATGAAGAAAAAGTAAGAACAGGCTAGAAAAACTTAACTGTCTATTAACGATCACGTGCAGAATGTTCTCATCATGTTTGAACTATGACTATATCTATTTAGCGAGAGTCCATTAGGACGAAAACAGTCTCTCTATAGTTTCGAGTTTAACTCTATTTTTCTGCGAGCAGAGTCGTCGATTTGTACGAAGGAAGAAACTGATCCGAAGATGACGATCGAGGCTCCTCGCAGGAGCCTTTAGGTCAGATTCGAACGTTACGAGGCATTTCATCGCAAGTCCCCGGCATTACTCGCCATTAAACGACTTCTGAGATCAAAATAAGGCAATCTGAAACAGTCAGTTTGGTTTCTTCTCTTCAATTGGAAGGAGATTGTCCGATTGTTTCTTTCCTTTTCGTAACGGTTCGTTCGTGTTCGTCTTATTTTGCGCTCAAGATTCGTTTAGTAACAACCGTTACGGGCTTCGTGAAACAATTTTGGTATCGTGTCGTCCACAGTAGGATGATACCACAGGAGTGTAGGCTAACGTACTCGAACACGATATCATCACCGATATAATAATTTATTTTTCTACAGTTTCAGTCGCCGAGTTAATAGACCAAGATGACTCGAATACGTACAACGCACACGCGATTAACGACGGGCAGGGGGGCGCAGATTGTTCAGGATTTAATCCTTTCGTCGGCAATTATTTAAGACCTGATGATCATTCAAGCTTCAAATAGTTCCAAAAAGAAAGAATGAAGACACGATGAGCCGTAAGCGTAGAGACCCGAGAAACACACATTCGTACATTCGTATATATACTGTGATTTTTAATAAACGTTTCACCGAATCGAAATTTCCAATCCGAGATATTTTCATTGCTTTTTTATAACAGTCTTTTTCTAACGATACTTTTAGCAGGGTTAAAATAGTACGAAAGGATTAAAGGAGAAACGAGCAGAGAGAGAGAGAGAGAGAGAGAGAGGAGCGAAGAGTAATTATTAGCAAAACAGAAAAGAAAAAAATGAAACGAGAATGCACGGCCTAAGCGCGACAACAGTGATAGAAGAGAGAAGAATCTAGTAAATCGAAGAAAGAAACCCTTCCCAGGAAAATTCCGATCTTTTTTTAACAAAAAAAACGAAAAAAAAACGAAAAAAGAAAAGAAAACTCCGTCGTTTGCATTTTCAAGTCACGGGACGACTCACTTTTTAGAATTTACCATCGCCGTCGGGTTGCTTTTTGCGTTTCATTTTCGTTAGACGCAACGGCGAGAGAAGTATTTTACTCGGATGAAAGAGAAAGAAAAGTATGAGAGAGCGTGAAGAAATTTAGAATCTTTTCTCGCAATGATGAAACGGTTCGTTCTCTTTCGGCGGAGTTTCAGAATCGCACGCAGCGAGAGAGGAAGCGAGGAGAAAGGAAACGAATCGGATCGATTACGGGACGCTGAATCACAAACGTTGTTCCAGCGTTCGCGTATTTCCGGTTGATACATTGCGTTTGGCACGGTTCACGTGCTGACAGACAGACACACACACACACACACACACACACACACACAAAATGGAGGAGCAGGAAACGGAAGCAAGTGCGAGAAGATGTTGGCGCGTCCGACCAGACGGAAATTTTGTAGCAATAAAGGATACTTCGTGTACATATGCAAAAAGGAGGAAGAAAGCGAAGAGAGACGGGTCGACAATGAGACGTGGCGATAGCGGAAACGATTGTATCGTCGATTATTTTCGTGGTCGGTAAACGAGGAAGCAAAGTGAGAGAAAGAAATTATTGAACGACCCGGCCGAATGCGTGTATAGTCGTGTAAGAATTATATCACTGTAGATATCTTAGCACCTTAGATGTGAGATTTCGAAGAGGGAACACTTGTTGTAAAACTTTCAAAGTATACTTCTTCAGACTGGGGGATACGCCGGGGACTCGTGGGAGTCGAGGATGGAATCACGCGACTGTAAAATAATAAATGGCTCCTTCGCCGATGAAAATTGGCCGCCTCCGATGCTTTTCCCACATTCCACATTCTTTCCTAGCTCTCTCTAAGAATTGCCTTTCGTTGGATCAGATAATTTCATATTTTGTATATTTTTTGTCTCAGTGAATTGGAATTTCTTTATTTCAATCATTTAAATTTGCAACAAGTGAAATTTTGCGTGAAAAAAATACAGGGAATTAACACGAAAATTGCACGATGTCTGACCTGTTTCTGATCCATTCGAAATTTATTTATTTGTTATTCATGTCTCTGATAAATTAACAATTAACTTAGTTTTTAATCAGTGATTCGAATTGATGAGTAGATATTTTTCATATAAAAAGTGGAGGAATTATTATAGAACTGAAATGCAATTTTAGAATGAATATTTACAACATGAATTTTATTCATCTCGATTTGAATTTGTCGAAACTTCTCCTGTCAATTTAGTTGATTGACACAGTTATGACACAACGTGGATCCAAATTTAACAATGATGGAGACTTTCTTAATTCTGAAATTGGAATAATTAAAAAAAATTTTATCGATGCACGTGATCCACAGTGAAGAGTCTGAACCAATAAAGATGAAAAATTGGCGACAAAATATGTTGCAGTTTTGTAAAGAAAAATCATAAAATAATCAACTTGATTTTAAAACATAAAACCCCTACAATCTTGAATTCTTTCTTTTGAAGATACTTCTGCATTATACAGCAAGTGAATAAATAAGAATAAGATAAAAATAAAATAAAATAATTAAAATGGAAATACTAAATCTATTCTCGAAAATTATCAAAATTCAAACGTTTTTAGAAATAATACAAAATTTTTGGTAACTAGATCGCTATTATTTTAATGACTGTAGTCTTTCCAGAAGCTTCTCATAATTTGCTGTACGATCTTTTTCAATTATTTTATTGCACTTTGAATATTAAGAGTGAACGACAAAGATTCAAGAAATGCTAACATTTCGTCATAATTTAATTCTAATGTACAAAATTTGATGAAATTATGAGACATAAGAGGTTTTAAGAACTCGTTGTAAAGAGTAGATTTCGATTTTCGAAGACTGTGGTATTAATCGTGAAAGAAATTGTTCAATATTTTTAGAGACGTTTGAATTTTTTGACAAATTTCGAAAATGAAAGTATCCTTGATATCTTTGAAAAAAAAAAAAAACGAATTCAAAACCATTAAAATAGAAGCTTTACACTTTGAAATGAGAGAAAAGAGATTGCTATATAATTATAAAGTTTAAAATATCGATAATTTTTCGTCGTTATCGGTTCAGTTATGCTTTTCACTGACAATGAATACAGAGAGGTAAGTAAAATATGGATTTAAACGCGAGTTTATAGTCAATCTTAGAGTTGGAATTCATTTAACCAAAATGGAGCTTGACAATATGACATTAATTTAATCATTATATTATCATTTAAAATAGAAATAAATTAAACTTAATTATTTAATTTCCTTTTGTAACTACCGATTAAAAAAAGAAAAAATGATTGCAAATAAACTCAACATGATTGGCCCTTGATCTATTAAACACAATGAAACTTGATGATCAGCGCTGAGGGATAAGAACCGTTCAATAGATTATTGGAAAAAACTTTATTCAGAATGTTGCTTTGCACAAAGTCGAAAGTTTTGTACAATACGAAGCGATGGATCGACGAAAGGTGTGAAACAGTTCGACAGATTTCTCTCGAAAAAAAGGAATTCTCTCCAAAATTAGAACAGAAACAATTACAGCGACTATATCGATTTACATTTATAATTCTACAACGACAAGAACCGCGGTCATCGAGCGAAAAGTAAATTACTCTTTTTTATTATTTCATCTCATCTGAAACGATTTTTCGTTTCTCTCCTCCGTGTAACTTTTGTTTCTCGTGAAAAAATATTTCCTCTGAAAACTTTTGGCCTGATCCTTTTCAGAATTTTTAATCTCAAGAGGTGAAAAAAATTCTTCTCTCTATTTCTTCTACTTCGTAGTGTGGTATATGTATGTGTGTATATATATATAGTACATACACACTTTTAGTGTTTCACATTTAAAAAAGAAACGACCACGTTCTCTTTCTTCTGCAAGCGTGACGATTCGTCGAGGATTACCTTAGAAACTTCGTTGCTTAATATACAACACAACGTCAAAGAATCGAAGGCGCTCCTTCGTTAATACTTGTATATATATATTTACAATATACGTTATATATAGAATATACGTGTATACATGTACGTTTCACGATTATCATGTTATAAAGTGTCGACGGTACGTAAGCTTGGAGAAAACGTTTCTCTCTGCGATGAATTTCGAAGTGTGAACGAAATGCATTTCGATCGAGCGCGTATCGAGATTGCATTAAGATTTAAATGGAAAAGCGTTATTATACGAATAACGTGCGCTGCAGAATGACGAGAATAAACAAACAGAGAAAACCTGAATACAGAAATTCGATGTAACTATTGCTCGTAATCGAGTTGAATTTAATCTTTTACACTCCAACGACGATGTATTCGTTATTTGCAAATATAACATAAAAATTATTATTCGTTTCCTTTGACAGAGAAATTCGAAAAAAATGAAGATCACACGTTACAAGTGATTCTCGTTTCTCGGCTCAAAATCGAAGGATCAAAAATCGAAGAAATCCATTTAAACGTTAACAATCTCGACGCGTTTCCTGCGCTTACAAAAAGTAAATCGTATCTCGTGTTCAACGCAGGATGGGAAGAAATGTGAAAGAACCGCGTAGGAAGAAAAATTTCAACTTCCTGACGATTGAAATCGCACGAAGAATCAATGTGACGATGAGGAAAGTATAATTCGTGAAAGTATCGAAATTACGAGAGAGAACACGCTTCGACGGAACGCAAGGGGACAGGTTTTTCTTTCTAGATTTCACGTCGAGCCGCTGTTAAATAGCGAAGGAATGCTCGAACAGGCTGCTTTTAATGTGACATTTACCGCACGAAGCGGGAGAAGCGTCCGATGCGATAATTTCGCGATCGCATCCGCGACTCCATTACATTGAGCGCTTTCGCGAGTTTCAAATATCTCGCCGCGATTTCCCTTAAAATTACGGAGACTAAATATCGGAGCGATTGTCATCGGGATAGAATATATCGTGTAAAGCACTTGAAGAGTCACGAATTTTCATTCAATTAACGCGCGCTTTGTTCGACACGCGTCGTGACACATTTTCACAGCAGTTTACAGTAGAATCTGATTTATTCGAACGAGTATTTCTCGCAACAGAGAAACATCCGAATGGACAATTTTTGATACTACATTCTGTTTATTTAGAGATCAAGGAAATCAGTTAGATCAAATATTTGGAGATGTATTCTTTTCTGGACAATTATATAAATTGTCAAACATAAACTGTATATATTCTTTCTTGTGCTTCGAATCATTACCAAAGGCACGTCCTCGTTACTTTTGTCTTTCAAACTTTTTAGTTATTTCGTACTTTCTTTTTTTTAAATACACAAATTGTGACTAATCTATCGTCATAATTCGGCCAAAGTCGAAACTATAATGAACTGGAAAAATGCATCTGTCACTAGCAGATTTACAGCATTCTGCATTAGTAATGTAAAAATAATTTAAACATAAAAATAACTTGAATAACAAATGTGTCGATAGAAGAGTAATAATGAAACAAAATCGAGGAAACAAATTTTTAATCGTAGAATATAAACTGTACGTTGCCAAGAATGTGTGTGATAAATCGTAACGGAAATTTCATTCAAACAATTCAAAAATCCACATTCAGACATACGAATCCAACTGGAAATCGATTATTTGTTTCATCCAGCGCAACATTGAAATCTCGCTCCGATAAATACAGTTCTACCATAAGCTCGAAGCGTTTGATAGATTTTCGATAACTCAGTAGAAAGTTCGCCGTTATAAAACTTGCCAAGCTAGTCCCTTATTCGTTTATGTGTCCACGAACGTACGTTTTTCATTTGGAAAATGGAAATGGCGTCGAGCGATTTCGCAGCGACGATAAATTCTCGTTCAACGATCGCGTGGTGCGCCAGTCTCTCTCCGGTAAAAACGCTCGTTAACACCGTCGTTGAATGTCGCGTCAAGATTTTATTTACGTTTCTTTGCTTTTCCTCCAATATTGGCCAGCCATCTGTCTCGCTCGTCGAAACAACTGGCTCCTTCCACTTTGTACTGTTTGTTTCTTGGAAAGCTCGTTCGATTTCGCATTAATTTCGACCACACGTCGCATCATTTTTGCGTTTCTATCGTAACTGGTCGTATGTCAGACTTGAATAATTCTGTTCGACTTTGTGGGCCTCGAAGAACTGGGTATACAACTCGACACGTCATCCTTCTGTATAATTTAACACGTGTTATTACGCGTGATTTCTTTACCCCAAAGCTACGTGTAGCTACAGGTGGTGCGCGTATACTCTCGCTCAAATGTTTGGAGAATCCTCCGATTTGTTGGTTGAAACCAATCCTTTGAATTTAGGGAATTAGAGCGTTACAACTATCATTTCATCGATTAAGTACAATTAATTACCAGCGTTGTGAATATAATATCTATTTACTCTTTTTTATTTTGTGACCGTTTCTCGAGATTCTGACGTGCTCCAAAATTTTTGGGCGAGAATACACTGTCAGCCACAGGTATTGGTATTTAGTATAAATTGAACATTTTTCTCTGCACTGAACTGCTTCTGCTTTCCAGTTGATTTACTGTAAATCTACTGTAGCGAGTTGAAAATCACAGTGGCGTCACAGTAGCGAAATAAAATTTGTCAAATATATCCCAATACTTATGGCCGGCAGTGTAACGAATGTTTAACGTGCTTCGTTTAAGAATCACGTGGCTCTGAGTATAAACCAGAATTTTGACAGATAGAAAGAGAGAGAGAGAGAGAGAGAGAGAGAGAGAGAGAGAGAAAGAGAGACAGAGACAATGACAGTGCAGCTTGAAATACTGAATCGTAATTAGAGTCTCATTTATATCAAACGCTATAAACAATCCAATCGTTTGCTACGATTCTCCAGTCCAGTGTTCTCATTCCAACGAACGAAACGATCTTCAACTTGTACAGAAAGAGACTTTCAGTATAAAATTCAGATGAAATGTCGCCCGTATATGATCAACAGTCACGGGATCAACAGTCATCCACTACGTTTCCAGAGCAACATTGGCAACAATGATATCTCAACAATTTGATTGTTCTTCAATCTAGGCCCCGTGACAAGCACCCGTGTGAAGATTCACCTTTGTTCTCGAATTCTGTTTCAAACTCCACTCGTACGTCCAACGACCGTCATCGAGTACTATACATCGATGGATGTTCCACGTTATTTCGCCAGGTGTGCTCGTGTGTTCAACGAGCTTTGGCCGACTGGAAGTCGATTTAATGCGCCAAACAATCGGCCAAAACGAGTCACTGGTCGAAGGCGTCGCTGGTGCCCGGCCGATCGAACTCCTGCGAGGAGCCAGCTGGCCGATCGGGCACCAGCAGCCATCCTCACGTTCTTACGAACTTGTACACAACGCCGAACACCAGCACGCTCACGAGGACCAACACCAGAGCGGTGACCACCTTCGCGAACGCGTTCAGTCCACTCTCCGTGTGCTGCTGAGGTCTCCTGGTTGGCACGCTCTGCTTCGAGGCGAGGCCACGGGCCAGCGCCGGGAACGCCAGGCTCTGCGTGAACGTTAGCTTGTGCAGAGACTCCGACAGGGAGTAAGGACCGACGGAACCACGGGCCGCTGCCCTCAGCAACGCGTACTCCAGGTCCAGGGCATCGAACATGCTGTACCTGTTGAATCGAACGGTAGTTTCTCACAGTATAAACATCATTTGACAGACTATTGTACATCGGTATTGTCGTTGCGTGATGAAAGAGAAGTTGTTCGCGAGGGAAGATAGTTTTTTTTTTTTTTTTTTTTTTACGTATATACAGCGAGTGACGAAAGTATTTGTTTAATTGATCGAACAGAATTGAGAGAAATAGTTTTCTATACGAGGTGTCTCGGCTAAGAAATCACCTGAACGTCTCTTTTATTTTTTACGAGACGAAAAATATTCATAGCGCAATTTCTTTATGGCTTTAATGAAGAAACATGAGGGCGTCAAATATTCTGCGTTTGTTGAATCAAACAACATGCAAGTTGTATGGAAGAGATTGATACTGTTGTCGTTGCATGGTAGAAAAGAAATTATTAGTATGGTAAAAATAGTATTTATGTATGTACAGTGAGGGAGTATTCGTACAGCTTGAGTGATCGCAGAATTAGAATAAGAAAAATATTTTCTATACAAATGTCTCGACTAAGAAACCATCTAAACATCTCCTTTATTTATTATAACACGAAAAATATTCATACCACAATTTTTATGGCTTCAATGAAGAAATACGAATATTGAAAAACAGATCTTTCTCTTAGGTCACTTTTTCTCTGTTTTTCGTTTTTTTTAAATCATTGTATTTTTATTTTTATTTGTATTTTTTTCTATTGGAACCATCGTAATAGATGCAAAAATACATTTAAGTATATTTGAATCATGAAAATTAGTAACATGATAGTTGCTGCAGTGAACGTAGATGAGATATTTTAGAATAGGTCAGAAGACATATTTGTACAAAAAAGACAATTCGCATTAGGAGGATGACTAGGATGAAAGAGTTATTCTGTCACTGTGAATCTCTGTGTAAATCATGTGAATAGCTACACTATGTTTGACGACTTCATTTAAGTTAGGTACGTCGTTGAAGTTCGAACGCACGTGGAACATTATACTATGCTTGACGACTTCATTTGTACCATGTCGTCCAAACACAAACGTGAATAATTCCACAATTTATCAACTAAGAAAAACAAACGAACTTCTTGCGAAGCTGATACATTTGAAAATGACTAAAGATCAGCTGAAATCAATTCTTTCCCTCGAATTTTTATCGCTGGAAGATCTGTCTTACTAAGAAATCAACCAATTAAGGATAAATAGCCTTTCGCAATGAATTTGATGTCGTATAATTTACTGATAAGGTTCTTTTATGATTACAAGGTTCTGATTACTCCGTAGATTTAGATAATCCGATTAGCTATTTATATTTTAAAGCCTTGATGACAGATGGAGTTGTTCAGAACCAATCGACCACATTCCCCTTTAATCAATATCTGGCAAAATTTGAAATTCCAACGAGAATCTCCTTCAACTATTCACCTACAGGATCAATGGAATGAAACGCTCGAGCAAAGAGAATTTAGAAAACTCAACACTCGATAATCTCACTCCTTGTTTGGAGCAGAACATTCCGAAACTTAAGATTTACATTAATTCACGCATTTTATATTTCTGGAACATCTTTCGCCACTATCTAACGTTTCAGTTTCTAGTTGGATATTTAGTTGTTCACCAATCAGAAGCAACTAATTCAAAGCAAGTAATCTCTCAAACATTATGGTGGCGAATTATTATAACAATAATTACCATACGTATTTTTTATTTTAATAATTTTCCAATATCTTTTATATAATTATGTCACTTTTGTATTGGGTATTTTTCTTTACCCGTGAAAAATAAAATAAATATAAATAAATATATATAATAAATATAAATATAAAAATAAATATAACAATAAAATATAAAAATAAATATAAACAAGTATAAAAATAAATATAAATGAAATAAATAAATAAATATTGTCTGAATATACTAGCAAGGGTCTCGACACTCCCATTCGTCAAACCTCAAAGACACTCGAAGTCAAAGAAGAAACAAAGTCACGCTGCCGAATCGATTCGCGATGTGACACGGTGAAGGTTTCACCCTTCGAAAGTTCAGGGTTCGAGGTGGGAAAAGCGCAATGAAATCCCGACGATATCCGGCTCTGTATGGAAGGAAGCCGTCGGCCAAATCATTCGGACAGCACGCGATTATTATCTTCAGATGCATAAATGAAAAGCGGAGCGGTAACCGCACACGTGCACGTATTGCTTGGTGCCAGGGTCGCACCTTGACACGAGTCAAGATCGCTATCAGCCCGGGGGTTTATTATTTCCAGCTCCATCCTCCCGGTAATTTCACGAATCAGGAACAGACACATTCAGGGACTCCTCTCCCTTTTTTATAAGCGAGATCGTAACGCGTCTGAAGCAGAGTGATCGTTGATATCAGCTTATCTCGAGATGCAGATCGTACGAGGAAAAGAGTGAGAAGGTATCATCATATCTCGATGAAATTCGCGAAGCAAATAACGTAAAGAATTTCTTTTGTACATGGAAGATTCATGTACTTCTTTGGAGTACAGAGTTGACATTTTATTTGGATAATGAACATAAACGAATCTGACAATGAGGAACTTTTATATACGAAAGATTCGTTGGAGAATAGAGTTGAAATTTTATTTGGATATAAATGAATATGACGGCGAGGAATTTCTTTTGTATATGAAAAATTCGTTAGAGAACAGAGTTGACATTTTATTTGGATATAAATGAATGTAACGATGAAAAATTTCTTTTGTATATGAAAGACTTGTTAGAGCACAGAGTTGACATTTTATTTGGATAATGAATATAAACGAATCTGGCAATAAAAAGTTTCTTTCGGACATTTCGGCAGAAGGATTCGTTGGAAAACAGAAAATAGAATTGAATAAGATTTTATTCGATATAAATGTAAAAAATGAAATATTAGTTTTACTTAGAAGAAAGTTTTTTTAGTATACGTGAATACTAATTTTAAATTTCCTTTCATCCGCCACTGTTATGTAAATGTCGTCGATGTATTTGGAAATTTATGGAGGATAAAATTAGGAATTATGTATATTAAAGTCAGAGTTATCTACCTCTTCCATCGTAATCTACGGAAACTGTAGTGGTAATAAATTTAGAAAGGACATTTACTGCTTTCGGGTGTGGTATATAGTGTTAAAAGAACAACGTTAATTAATGAACCTAAAGAATCAATTCACGAAGTATGAATATAAATTCTGTTTGCAGAGTTCCTTGAGTTTTTATGTCTCGATCTTTTTTTTTTTTAATTTCAACGTAGAAGGTTAAACACGAAAATAAATCTTTCCCATTTTTTAGTTTGTTAAGAAGAAAAGATTAAGTAGTAAGATACGCGCGTATGTATGTGAAACGAATTTTTTTTTAAACTGACACAGCTAATTCTGTATGGAAACAACTATCGCACAGCCTTATCGTCCAAAAATTAATGCATAACTATGAATTTCGAAAACGTATGCATTTGCATATCATGAATAAATCAAATCTTTAACAAAGCACAGAAGACAAGCGTGGCAGATTAATTATAAACACTGTTCTTGTTCGTATATCATGTATGTTTCAGGAAACAATTCTGCACCTTGAAAATTTACCATCACGTACACGAATGTAAAGTGTTCTTAAGCAGTACTGCAATTAATGCGATATTTATATTCACGCGTTATATGTTATTATACTAAAAAAAAAATTTCAAATTAAAATATTTCACACGAGTTGAATAGAAATTGCTAATTTTATTTTCTCGCATACTTCAATATTAATATTGCATTTTATAGTTCAATATTAATAGTGTTTTATAGTTCAAAAATACTTGTGTTTGATCGAGAATTTGATCAAGGATGTATTATTATTAATTCAACGTAACCTCTAATAATTTGAATCTACATCATGCTTAAACAAACTCAGTTAGACTTGATTAGTTTCTAGACCCTTTCAAATATTTGATCGAAAACATTTTACTAAAAATATGTTGTTATTAATTCTATATAATCTCAAATGATTCGAATGATTATATATTCTACATCATGTCTAACTCAACAGTCAAACAATTAAATTCGATTAGTTTCTGAATACTTTCGAATATTTGTGCGATTGTAAATACTTTGTCAAGGATGTACTCTTATTAATTCTGTATAACCTCAGAATTGAATATCGAACAATTAGATTCTGTACCATGTTTGAACAAACTCAATTAAACTCGATTAGTGTTTAAATACTTTCGAATGTTTGTTTGATCGAAAATGTTCTATCAAAGATGTATACACTGTCACTAAATGTATATAACCTCGGAATTGAATGTCGAACAATTAGATTCTACGCCATGTTTGAACAAACTCAATTAAACTCAATTAGTTTCTCAATTAGTTTCTTTCGAATGTTTGTGCGATTGTAAATACTTTGTCAAAGATGTACTCTTACTAATTCTGTATAACCTCAGAATTAAATATCGAACAATTAGAGTCTATACCATGTTTGAACAAACTCAATTAAACTCGATTAGTTTCTTTCAAATGTTTGTGCGATTGTAAGTACTTTGTCAAAGATGTACTCTTACTAATTCTATAACCTCAGAATTAAATATCGAACAATTAGATTCTATACCATGTTTGAACAAACTCAATTAAACTCGATTAGTTTCTAAATTCTTTCGAATGTTTGATCAAAAACGTTCTACCAAGGACGTATATACTATCACAAAGTCTATATAACCTCGGAATTGAATGTCGAATAATTAGATTCTACATCGTGTTTAAGCTCAATTAAACGCTCTGTATACAGACTATATATTACCTGCTGCTACGTCTTCTATCTTGCATCTGAGCATTCGCGGAACTGGTCATCGAACGTAAACTGCTGGTAGTTGAACTCGAGGGACTGGGCGGAAGCGGAGGTTCTTCGTCGATTGACGTTCGGTCCGGTGTCGGCGGACTCTTGACCCCGGAATTGTGATGATTGTGATGCAAATGGTGCAATTGCAGTCGAGCGTGATCCGGATGGAGTAAACTGGCGCGTCTGGATTGTTGAGGCGTGGCGGCTGGACTAGTGCCGGCTACACCGCACGGAGACGGCGACGCCTTTTTACGACAATCGCAAAATTGTTATTGCCCAGCCATTTCTGTGAAATTCTCTTAGCGTAACATGGAAATTGGACACTAAAGTTTTAAACAGAATGGTTAACGATCGCTAGCTGCATTGATATTTCGAAGTTGGCGATTGGTTAGACGTGAACTGTATATCTTACATATGTTTTTATGGAACTGTATATCGTACAATTAGTGGATGTTGTTATTGAACTCTACAACTTGGTTTGGTAGTTACTTTCGAATTTTATTATCTAAATTTTGCGCCGGATTCTACGATTGAATCACCTGCGATTTGAATTGTACGATTTTCAATTTCTTTTGCTATCGGATTTCAAAATTTATTGGCCAATGCTGTTAAATTGTATATAATTCGTTATTTAGCAGTATGTATTATATACTATATTATATAACATAATTCGATGATTATCGTTGTTGAATTTTACAATATTACAACGCTGCGGTTAATGCTGTCGGATTCTACGAATCGATGTCTATCGCTATTAAATTTCACTACTTGATTAATATTACTGAATTCTATCTGAATTTACATCTTCATTTCATATCATCGAATTCTACAATTTTATTCATCACTACTCAACGTTTTTTAAAATTCCAAATTCCAAATTTTCAGTTCTCGTCTTGAATCTTAATCTTAAGCCAATCGAGTTTCTTTTCACACAACTTTCACGCAACTAATGCAATCAACGTTACTATATTTAAAGAAAAAAAGAAAAATCTGAAGATCCTTAATCAACACCCGCAGTTGCTTCGATTATGCTACCTGTATGGATTCGATGCCACTGTCGTTGACGTTCTCTTGGACATCCGGGAACACGAATGCCTGTGCCTGTCCGTCGGCTTCGCCTCTCGGCGAATCGCTCGGCCATACTTGCAGCAGAGGAAGTCCACCACGAGGCTCTGTACAAACTTCCGCGACGACGTCGTTGCTCTGCTCACCCGCACTGAGGCACAATCGGCCCAGCTCTCTCAATGGCTTCTGTTTAATCAGGTATAGCAATTATTCACCTAACTCTTCCCTCCGTGCTTCCTACTCCTTCTCTTTATAATCGCCAATAATTATTAATAGCTCTCAGTTTCCGATCAATAAGATTATGCAATTTCATCGTTGATCGCCAGGAAGAGTATTAACGTATGAATATTGCAACGAAAATAAAGCAACATTTTCGGGAATCTTTTCTTAATAGTCTTAGAGAGTCTTTTGATTTGTAAATATTTAGCTAGAATATTAATCCTTTGAGTGTTTAACCCGTGCTAGAATATCGTACGGATAATTTTATAATCATTAATAAAACAATTGGTTTACTTACTGGAAGTTCAAAGAGATTGCAATATATTTAGTAAATATATTTATTATAAATGTTGAGTGATGAATGCATCCTCCATTCAATATTAAACTTTTAGATTTTGGTCAATTTCAGTATCTCAAAGGGTTGAATATCACAGCAATTAATTAAATTTTACCATATAAACTGTAGTTTGAGGACAGTATATAATAGTAAAATCATTTTAACTTTTTCATTAATCATAACGAAGAGCATCAACGAAAGAATACTTATTATAATGAAATTAGCGATATTACATTGTCAATATGTATTCAACTTTCGTAACTCTTTCTTAATAGAAATTCTTAGAGACTTTTTGAGCCATACAGTTGTAATTCGGATACAATATATATTTTTATACGTTTCACATTAATTGGAACATCAGAACGTCGAATGTGTCAGGATATCTATAAATCTCCTCAGCATCTGACACAACTACGCTGATAACACTGTTCTCAAGCACTATGCCAGTTGCACATACACAATCGCATTATGCATGTTGTATTTACGTCACGTGGAGCCTGTCATCGGTTCGAATTGATTTCGCTCAACACCGTCTGTGTTTCCGGGAATTTCACCAAAGATACCATACGTATCAATCGTTCGCGATTACATCTTCCCATCGTACAACATAATTGAATCAGCGGTCGTTGAATTGACGTTTCTTTCATGTATAGACAACGTTTTTTATCAATTTGCACAGTTTGTATAAACTTTGAATAAAAGTATTCTTTGTTGAAGTTTTGTTCTATTATTGGAAATAGAAAGTTTCCAATAGTATCATTAATCACTTTCACTGATAAAGGGATTCTGCAATGGATTTCGATCAATAATTGTGTTCTAATAAATTGAATGCTTAATACACGAATACCTACGCGTTGAACTATAATTTGCATGATCGAATAATTTTCGTAAGAATTTTCCATTTGTAATACACTATTACAATTAAAGAAACGGAACTTTTTATATTTATTTTTGTGAACAATAGGCCACAGAAAATTTTACGACTTTATCTATTAAAATATTTATGATTGTCTGAACTAGCTAAAAAAATTACCCAATTTTGTTTTATATACTTTGTACGGTAAAATGTACGTTTAAAAATATTTTAATAAATATAATCACTAAAATCTTCATTTCAGATCTTTGCAAAAATAGATCCTAAACCAATTATCAGTAGTATATTTTCATATTTTTGTGAGTTTTGTGTATCTTTCCAGAAATCTATGAAATCCATTATCTGTTGAATAATGTTTCTTGTGAGAGTGGTTAATACTACAAAACTACACTTTTCCTACTATATATTTCCTTTTTTCTTTTTAAATAGTATAATAATTTCGTGATCTTGGAGTTTTTTTAAACATCCACACTGTTCTTTCATATACATAAATAACACTGTGTCCAAGGCGATCAATTCTTTAGGCTTTTTATTTAGAAATTGCTTCGAGTTCATAAGTCCTTATCTCATACTTCAATTCTCTTACGCGTCCTATGTTTGAATATGCATCCATTATCTTAACTCCACACACTACAAAACACAAGCTTCCAATTGAAAAAATCCAACACGAATTCCTCAGATTTGTTGTTTACAAAATAAAAGAGTTAATTCCTATCATCACTTTACTTTCTTAATGAAGAATTTGAGTATTCACTCACTGAAAAACAGCTGATCTCTGCTTTCTTCGTCGCGATTCAATATTACCGATTCTCTGTTTCATCACCGGCTTGATTAACTTTAACTAACTCACCGATATTTCTGGAAATCTAGTAACTTTTATATATAAAATTAAATAATAAATATCACAAAATATTTGTACAATTTTTATTTTTACCTATAAATCAAAAGATTCAAATTATTAATTCCTACCTCTATCAAAATTGTATTTTGCTTTTACATTGCCAACGTTGTGTAGACTGGTGTACGACACCGTTACGAATTTATGAATTTTTATGTCCTTCGTAAAAAAGAATGGGCACGCGTCGAAATTGTTCAGCACGTAACGAATTATGAAATTCCTACTAGAATTGTTGCCAACAAGAGATTGTCATTTGAACAAATAAAACACGTTTGAGTGAGTAAAAGGATGCTTTGATTAATGCGAAATATCATCCAGTAATATATATGTATGTACATGCGAACAAAACAAATGATGAAGCTCTGATTCTCGTCGGAAGTCCCTGCACACAAAACGGAAGTTCGAATCGGCTTATCGGCTTTCAACCGCGAAGGCTTCGTGTTATTTCTGTTGTCCACTCGTCGAAAACGTTTCAATCTGATTGTCAGCCTACCGTATTATCTCGTTTCTCGTTGTCTCATGAAAATTCGATGCGCCAGCTAATTATTCATCGAACATATCAAACATTTATCGAAGCGCTTGTTTGTCATTTTTCCGTAATATTCACACATGTGCCCGTTCGATAGCACGTTTACCGCTCTCCGAGTTCACGCACGATTGAAATACAAGCTGTTTTCGATTATTCTTCGGATAAAATTCGAATCGTGTATAGTATATTTTCAAATATATATCATATAGATTGATATAGTGATATGACTAAGCTCGTTATCCTAAATTTACAAGAATTATTTATACAATTGTTCCAAAAATTTGTTAAATTCTGCGTCGTAGTTTCTGTTAAAATAATATATATATATATATATTTTTATATTATATTATATATATATATTTTTGTTAAAATAATAATACAGAATAAAATATCCTCGAGTGCTAAATTTATGTTTCTAGCAAATTTCAATTATTTACGACGATCAATAAATAAACTATTTGTTTATATAAAATTAATTGTTAAATAAAATTTCTTGACATTTACGAAATCTTCTTAAATTTACATTTTCATCTTTCATTATTAAATTGTGCACTGAGCAAAATTACGTGATATTTGTCTATCAAAGTCAAATACTTCGAAAGTACAACATTTTGTACGGAATTGCGTAAAAGGCGCTGAATTAATTTCGCGCAACGAAGAGCGACCTGAAATGTGGTGAAATATCAGGTAGCAAGATGTTATGGATATTGTAGTGCAGGAGAATTCGCGGTCAAATGCTGGGAACGGAGTTCCACGCGAGGTTCGCGTAGATTCTAGCGATATTTGGCCCGTTTCGACAACGATCGTCGCATTTGATAGGTTCACCAGCTGCTATTCGCAAGGGAGACACACGTGCATGGGTAAAAGTGTTATATGCACGTATTTTGCGAAGCGGCTACACGTGGCAATGAATTATAATCGCGTGCAACTTTACGCTTCTTTGATTCATTAACAGTAGTAAATACATAGTACATGGGCTTTAAAATATCTGTGACTGAGAAACGAAGATTAAACGACGCCTATAATTATTTAATTATTTATTAGCGATGGCTGAATATGCGGAGAAAAAGTGAAATTACTAGGATAAGAATTGTGCTTATTTTCAGATTTATCACTAATCTAAATTTATCAGGTAACAATAATAAATTTCTGCGAAACGAATTATATTTTCTTCCGAATGATCTGCGTTTCTAAATCTAAAAATAATTAAAAGAGAAGTGGAAGTTATACGTTATATTCCTTTGATCGAGGAAAATTTATCACGCCTAAAATGGAAAAGAGAGAAGACTTCGAAAGATTGTACATTTTTCAAAATAAATAAATGATGAGATATTTTCTTGCAGGAGAGAGCTCTTAAGAAATTGCAAGAGAGATGTGGGTAAATAATTTATAAATTAACAAATGGAAAGAATAAATTTTTCAATGGCAAAAGTGAAAAGAAAAGTCCGCGATGAGGATAGTTACGAACAGAGGCGACTTTAACGAGTGAAAGAAAAATGTAGCAAACCGAGTCTAAACAATTAGTTCCTTATACCCGATCGCCTCGAGACTTGAAGAATTATCGTAGTAACATTAAACAACCTTCGACGTTTCTCGTCTCCGGGAATAAGCTGAATAGAAAAGGCTATTACAAAATAAGCTTCCGATAGTAGATCGTTGTCGACCACATATTCCTGTGCGATAACTTCCAAGAATCTTGATTTCGTTTTCGAATTACAGATCTTTGGATAGCTAATTAAATTAGCTAGATACCCTTGAGCTACCTCCAGGAAGAACAAAAACTGCGGTTACCTAATTTGAGTACAATGGAGGAACTGAAGACTCCAAGCGTGTGTGAGTAGAGGAAGCTTGTAAATACTATAATCTGATCGTGAATCGAAATTTTCACGTTTGTGGCTGTATTTATGCAATATTGTATTAGTCTACTGTACTTTAATCGATGAAGCAATCAAACTGACAACGAATTGAGGGTCCAGTGTAATAAAAAGCTACGCCATAGTAACCGTCGGATTAATCCCGCAGAAACTCATCGAATTTTATAATATAAATTTACAATATATGAAACGCTATTTTTCGAAAAAGAATTTCTAAGTTTGTGTAAGATACTATACTATGTGAGATTTTTTGAATCTAGATTTGTGAAATTCAGCTACATAACAATATGTTTGTACAATGTTACGGAAGGTACGGAATTTTTATGAGAAACAGCGTTGTAATAGAGTTTTCGTAATTAAGTCTTAATCTATGAATTAAAGTAGAATTTATCTAGACATCAAAGATGTCAAAATTAATAAAAACTCATTTTTGAATATTTTCTAACATTTGTACT